TTTTTTGGTAAAAGGTAGATAGAGCTACCCCATGCAAACCCTTCCTGTGGTGGTTTCTTTCACTCACCGCATCGTTGAGAGAAGGGTCTTCCAGGCTTAGCTTACCTGGATATTTGCTAATTCCTAACTCTGCATAGGGCTACAAATATGCGCAGGACTGTATTTAGTGGGTGTTGGGGCTCCATTTTAGTGGTCCACATTCAATAACTGGGGCCTCTTCTTGTCAATATTTTTCACTTTAACTGGTGTATTTGCAGGTTGGCATCTGTGCTCCTTCCTTGTAACATTTTTACTTGCCAGCATGGAGCCAATGGGCTGCCTCAGTGCTGTGCAGCAGCCTGGCCCAGGTGTCATGAGTTTGTGCCCTACAGGTGTATAGGTACCTCCAAACCCATCCATTAGCACTTGTCAAGGGGGACCCTCAGATGCTAACACAGCATTTTTATGATGCGGTTTAATTGTACTTCTTGGTCATGTTTTGGGATAAAGTTGGCTCTGAAATAACCATTTTTAGGGAAAACCAACCCTGTTCAAGCTAGGCCTTGAACAACCTGGTCTAGTGGGAAGTGTCTCTGCCTATGGCATTGGGGTTGGGACTAGATGATCTTTAAACCCCTTAACCCCTTACAACCCCTTAACATTCTGTAGTTCTATAAAACCATAAGAGGTTACAGCAGGGCATTTAGCTCTTTGAAAACAAACCAGCATTGCCCGTGCTCAATAGAGGTCAGAGCTCTTAACCCTGTAATTCCAGGTCAAACTTGACAAGTCTCATTCTGTAAATCTGCAGGCCATCTGCAGTCTTCACTGTACTTCTTGAAAAGTGAAAATGAAAAGCACCCATCCCTAAGTCTTTCCTTGTACCCGCACAGTGGAGTGGGGAAACTGAGAGCATGGAAACTTACACACTTTTGCATTTGCTGTCTGTTCTTTTGCAGGTGCATTTTTTTGATAAATTGAAAAGAAAATGCTGTCTTCATAAATTGATATGTCAGATGGGAAAGAAAAATCTGAAGTGGCAGAAGTAATGTTTTTTCTTGTACTGTTTGATATGTTAGTGCTCTACAAAATCTTTTAGCATGTGCTTAGAAAAACTGGTGGAGCAAAATTTTGAGGCTCTTTTTGCTTAAGTAAAAGTAGAAAACTACTTCTGCCTCCTTTGAGATCAACGTAGAGTGGGATTCTCTGCTATGAAATAACAGGAATAAAAGTGCAAGTGTCAAATTTTGCCTGCACAGAGCCAAGAGTACATCTACTGTGCAGTCAGTTTGCAGGGTTGTATCCCTTAGTGGTTCAGCCAAGCTGTTGTTACCTGATCAGAATAACTGTTGTATTGAGACTTTGGAGGGGGGTTGGACAGGGAGGTCCCCCAAGTACTGTTGACCCATTGGAGCAGTGTTCTGTCCCCCGTGCTATTATGTGGCTGACTCAAAGCCTGTGTGAGTGGCATGCTGAAAACCCCTTGTGCTGCTTGCAAGGCAGGAGCTGCACCTTTTAGCTTGCAGAGCAGTCACCCTTAGCAAGGTGAGCTGAGTGTTACTTATTCCACCCTTCTGTGCCCTTGCCTGCCTGCCCCCAGCTCCAGGTCAAGTCCTGCTTTAGCTAATAGCAGCCATCTGTCTGGGTGGATCTCTCCCCTGGCAGGGATTCCCACCACTGCTCCAGAGGGTTGCTGTAACCTCTGCTCCCTTGCTCTGGACTCTGTTTTTCAGGTTTCCTTTGGGGCTGGTAGAACTGGTTTCTGTTGGCATTCACTTAGCACCTGTTTCCCCTTATCTGTACTCCTCAAAAGCCCCTCCAGGGCCACTGCAAAAGCTTCGACCCTCAGGCTAGTGGCTCTTACACTGTATGTGCTGCTTAATCGAGCAAGGGCATGTTTAAGAGGGACTAAGGAAAAAATAGTGATGAAGGCATCTTGGAACAACATGACAGATCACTGGTATTTGGGTTGAGGGAGTAAAAAATAACATTTAGGAATAGCATAAGGGGCTTGTCATCAGGTGAGCAAGTGTGACTGCTGGGTGCCTGTTTAGGTGTCCTGGAGGAGAATAAAGTTGAATATTCCCCAGAATTTAAAACATAAATAGGAGGTAACTTTTTTTCCTACATAGTTTCTCATTATTGTTTCCAAAGAGAAGAGCTGGCTTTTCTGCACTGAGTCTGTGAAGATAAATGAAGACAAATGTTACAGGAAGTGTTGGTAGAAGTGATTTAAGTTTTCTGTGAAAAATTCCATATTCTGTCCAGGTGTCCACAGTAATGCTCAGTATATTACTGTAATGTCAGAAGTACTCCTTAAAAAATAAATAGGTTGATCTTTTTTTCTCATTTAAGCCTAAGCTGTTATTCTTCTGCCAGTTTGAGCCACAACTTTAATAAATTCTCGAGCGTTTACTCCCTGGTGTGTAATGGAAACGTGTACTGTGCTCCTGACACAACAGGAAGCCCAGAGCCTGCCACAGAGTGCAAACCTGCCTCCAGTGAATCCTCACTGAGTCTGGCTGGCAGTATTTTCCTCCTTGCCTTAAGTGTTGGTTGTTATCTTTGAAAAGCCATAGCAAAGTCATGCAGGAGTTGAGCAGGGTGCAGTTTCTTTTGCCTGCTGAGGACTTGCTTTATAAATAGCAACATGGAAATAGTATGGAACTCTCAGCTGCTAATAAGGGAGTTTTTCTTTTCTGTGCAAGTTACAATACAGCACTAATAGCAGCTGGGCCATATTTGTGCTTTCCATTACCTTCCTGGGATGTCAGATGCCCTGTCTATTTTTGGGCATCATATATTCAAGTCTAAATGGACTGTAGTCATCGATTCCTACTTTGGACTTCCTGGATTTCATTTCTGACTGCTACTTTTCCACTTTTAGTTTCCAAAAAATACTCACTACAAGTTTTCTGCTTATACTTACATGCATTTTCCATTCCAATAAACATTTTCCTTACAGCTTTCTTACAAATTCAACGCTTTCCTGGTGCTTAGTCCCATGGTGCCACATGTAACAGCACTTAACTTGTATTGACAGGCTCATGGTGGCAGTAAATCATGGGATACAGGAACCACGAGTAGTCTGGGGCGTTGCTTCTAGCAGGGCAGTGTGACTGGGACATTAATTCAGTTGATTATCTTTCTAAAGGAAATTTGATGCAATGTTTCACTCCCCCTCTTTTTAACAGAGTGTTGAGTTACTTGTTCTTTTTTTAAATGGAAAAGCCAAGATCCCTGCTGCGTTTCATTCTCTGTCTGGTTGCAGGAAGGAGAAGATCTTTGCTGTACACCACTGGTAGACATTCAGCCTGCTGTGTTCTGCCCTCAGTAGCTTCGCTCGTGATCTCTAGGACAGTCACTAGGCAATGGCATGGCTGGATAGGAAAAGGTCCTCTCTCCTTTGAATAGGTGGGAGGGCTCCTCCTGGCCATGGGGCACCTGGGATGTTACCTGATAGCTCTACAACATTTCTTCTGGTTCTCTGCGTACTGTAGTTCTTGTTCCTCAAAGGGATGGCAATGAAGGAGGAAAAAAAACTCCTTAAATGCAGCTGGTTCTGTAGCCCACAGGAATATTTTGGCAATGCAGGGTTAATTCTTTCAGGTGGAGCTTTCTACAGGTGCAGCAGTGCTGCATTAGCAGCAGGAGTTAACTCTTCTGCCTTGTCACAGATCAGAAATAAGAAATATATTAGAAATAAACTTTGAACTATGTTTGGGGAAGAAAAAAGGGCATATTGTGGTGAATGCTCTGATGCACGGCCCTTCCTGACTTTGCTGATGTGCAGTCTGGCAAGATAGCTTTGCCACAGTGCTTGCTGTTGTTTTCACTATGTCTGTTTTCTCCCCCACTATTTGTCTCATTCCCCAAATCATTTTACAGGAGACTTTTCTTAGTCTCAAGTGGCCTTAGCCAAGCTATTTCCTCTCTTTATGCATTCGTTTCCCCAGCTGTAAAATGGGGATAATGAGACCTGCTTGCTTTTGTCAGGCACTTAGAGATGTGCTTACGAAATGCGCTATTAAAAGGCTTTCTATGTATAACTGCTATACAAACAGCGGTTGTCCAAGTTTATTTGAACTACTTTATTGAAGTCCAAGGTTCTGAACATCCTTTGTTTTTAACAGAGGATGTTATTTATGCAGTAAAAATGCCCAAAATGTGAAGCTATTGATTGTTGCTGATAGGTTTATGGTTATTAAAGCATTAAATCATCACCGCCCATTATCAGCCATTCTGCTGTCTTTGGAAGCTGAAAGTGGTTGTGCATAGCTGGGGCCCTTGATTATCTCAGAGTGATCAATAAAAGGTTTTCAGCAGAAGCTTTTACTGCCACGTGGTTTAAATGTTCTTCCTGTGCATCCTGTACATGATGACTTCAGCTCGAGGAGAAAGATAGAACAATCCTTTGCAGGGTAACTGGATTACACAAAGAAATGTAGGTATTATGTCGAGGCAGATATTGCCACTTGGAGTTTCAGTTCCCCTCTACTGCCTGTTGCACTGCCTTATGCTGGGAGGGTCTTCTTGCCTGTCATTGTGCTTGTCCAGCAAGTTTCACATGTTTTAATTACAGCAAATCAACAACATTGAGTGAAGGGAGGAAACAGCTGAAAGCAGAGAGGTAAAATCAGAGCTAAAACTGGGCAAAACTGTTTAAAATCTGTGTGTCTTGTTAGCGGAAGAGTGACGGTGGCTCTTCAGTGGCTGGTGTCTCTTGAGTGTGGAAGGACAGAACTGTACATGAAAGGAAATGCAGAGCCCAATTTGAAGGCACTGAGTGCCAAAATGGGTGCTTGGTGTTGTCATCAGGAGAGCTTCGTTCCCACCACCTTCTGTTGCTCCTCTCTGAAGTCAGGTGGGCCTCTGCCCTGCTAAAATGCTGACACTGGAGTTCCAGCCCTGAAATACCTTGAAATACTTCTGTGAATTTAGCATTTTACTGCATACTGAGAGTACAGTACAGAGTGTGTCTTTGTGAGCAGCTCAACAGCAGCTTTCACTTTGTTTTGCAGACAGTTTCCATCCTGGAGCAGAGGCTGACACTCACTGAAGACAAGCTGAAGGAATGTCTTGAGAATCAGCAGAAAATCATTCAGAACAAAACAAACTGATTTCCTGAGTGCAGACAGGAGCTGAAGGCATTGGGAGGTTTGAGATTGTTTGTGTTCCTAACAGACTGTGTGTGACTTGCTTTAACAATTTTGAGCACAATCTATTTTTCAATTGGAATGTATAGTTATTGTATCCATAAATAGCTTTGATACTTGACTAAAATAAAAGGAACATTTTATTCATAAGTGTGGATAACAATTGTGATCTCTTGTGCTTTCCAGAGGTGCAGCAGCCAGCGTGTGGACTGGGTACTGACTAGTAAGGTTGCATCTCTCCCGTTTCTGGTGCTGCTGAGTTAGTTTTAAGATGTTTAAGCATCTTGGAGTTGTCAGGTGCCTAGCACAGGCTGTATTAGGCTTGTTACTGAGGTGTGTGCTGGTTATAGGTGACAAGCAAAGTGCTGTCAGGATATTTTGGGCAGTGGTAGTTCAACTTTATTCTGGGACCATAATGAGCAGGTGAGATCCAGTGCAACCAGCACCTGGAGAAGGGTCTGTCTCAGCCAAGTCCCAGGTGGTCCCTGGCAAATCTGATAAAGGTCAGATGAGACCCTGAATGGTGTTTATGCAGAGGTGTTTAAATCCAATGGTGGGATTTATCCTGCTCCCTTGTGTAATGTGTGAGAAACAATTTCTTGAGAGAAGAGAGGCCCTGGCGGGTCAGATGCAGGGTGGATTCCAAGCAGATTTTTCTTTGTCTTTGTCTCCTTAAATTAAAGGCAGCGTAAGGGGAGAGGAAGGCGATCAGAGAGTGGAATGCTTTCTCTGCTGTGGAACTCTCCTCACACTGGACTGCCTTTACTTTTTGGTCATTTTCACAGCAGAGTAGCTCATCACTCACACCCCACTCCCCTCATTGCTCCTTCTGGCTTTTTCAGGGCTTTAGCAAGTGTTCAGTATGTAGCTGCACAAGAATTTGGACTGCTGGGAGATCCTGTTCTCCCGCACCTCTTCTGCTAACACACACTTCCAGTGTCTTCTTTGTTGCAATAAACTATGACTTCCATTACTGGAGAAAAGAGGTGTGTGAACTTGAGCACCTGAAGGTTAATGTAACCTTCCTCACCAGTCTGTCTGACCTCTGCAAACAGGGAGGCTGCCTCAGTCCCTGCCCTTGGTGGTCCCTTGTGCCACCACCTCCTGCCAGCCTCACACAGCTTCCAGTGTGGGCTTCCATCTCCAGATGGGCTGTGGGCACTCTGGATGCTTGCCTGAGGACTGACTGGTATCCTTCCTTCACATGAGGCTTAGTTGATCTTGAGGCCAGCCCATGTGTTTTTCGGTTTGGGTTGGGTTTTGGTTTTGCACCTCTTTCTGTTGCAGGCTGTGTTGACTGGTACAGCAGCTTGATACTGTTAGTGTGTCTTGTCCCATCTGGGTGGAGCTGTTCATGTTCCTCTGCTGGCATCAGGAAGCTTATGGTCTCCTTCTCTCCTGGTGCTTTGTGCATCTCTAAGAACCCTTTGCTGGCATTATCAGTGTTTCACTCCTTCATTTGCAGGAGGCTGAGAGCTTTCTCATTTCCATGCTTGGCTGATGATGAGTTTCTCTCTGCTCTGTCACAGACTTTGTTTTCTGTTTCCAAGCTCTGAGTCTGATAAATCATTATTTTCTCTTAGATTACACTAATGGAATCAATTCAGCTATGATATTCTGCTCTAAGCTTTCAGTGGCTTTCTGCTGCTGAGGGACTGACATCATCCTCATTGAAATGAGCTTATGTGGATGGGTGGGTAGAGGGGACTCAAAGGTACGTGTGGCTAATTTGCTGCTAGGAAAAGGCTGTTCCTGCCCTGATCTGCTGCTGCTGCTGAAGCACTGACAAAAATGAGTTGCAAGAGCCTAAACTTTCAACTTGATCCTCAGTGTTGTGGACTGGCCTTTGGGATGGGGTTGTGGAGGGAGGGGAGAGGAAAACTTAAGCAATCTAAGATTCATCCGTTTTTAAGCTTTGCTTTAAAAATAGCCTTTGCAACCCTTTAATGTGTAGTTTCTAATGTCTTAGGGACGACAGAAGCAGTTTGTATATAGTGTTTTGAGAGGTTGGCAATACAAATGACACATTTGGTGTGTGCCCAGAAGTGTCCATATTTGGGCACATTTGATACAAATACTTTTTCTTTTTAGATGTTTTGAGTTAATCAATCTGAAAGATTTAATTGTGCTTCTAAAACAGATAAAGTGCTCAGGTGCTGAGGGCAGGCAAGTGGGATGTAGAGTGTTGTGGCTTAACCCCAGCTGGCAGCTAATCCCCACACAACTGAAGGCTCACTCCCCCCAGGTGGGATGGGGAGAGAATTGGAAGGGCAGAAGCGAGAAAACTTGTGGGTTAAGATAATTAACAGATAAAGCAAAGTCCAAACACACAAGCAAAGCAAAATGAGGAATTCATTCCTCACTTCCTGTGGGCAAGCAGGTGCTCAGCCATCCCCAGCACAGCAGGGCTCCATCACAGTGACATGGGAAGGCAAATGCCATCGCTCTGAATGTTCCCACCTTCCTCCTCCTTTCCCCAGTGTTATATGCTGAGCATGATGCTGTATGGTATGAAATATCCCTTGGGTCAGTGGGGTCAGCTGTCCTGGCTGTGTCCCCTCCCAGCTCCTTGTGGCCCCTCAGCCTCATTGCCGGTGAGGTGAGAAGCAGAGAAGGCCTTGACTCTGTGTAAGCCCTGCTCAGCAACAACTGAAGTATCCCTGAATGATAATTTGTGTTTCCAGCACAAATCCAAAGCAGCCCCATAGGAGCTACTGGGAAGAAAATTAACTCTGTCTCAGCCCAAACCAACACATTGGGAAAGTTGTTTTTTCTGGACTCAACTTCTTGTTCAGTGTTGTCGTTGTAGACAAAACCCAGGGTGGGTGGGTGTGGGGAGTCAGGAGGAAAGGGAATCTAACCACCTCTGTATGATTTAGGTGGCAAGTAAGGTAATCTGGAGGGAGTTTCTTCTGATAGTATTATCTACCTCAAGTATTTCCTTGTTCCAGGTCTCTGCAACTTCCTCCCTCTTCATTTCCTACAATCTCATAACTGGAGTGGAATATCAGGAGTTAAAAGGTAGCAGTACTTCCAAAGGGTGGCTATTGCTTGAGAGGCAGGAGAGATTTGAAAAATGCAAGATTCATGTTTTAATCCTTGTGCTTCATCATTGAGCAATAACCTCAAAAAACAAAAATCTGAGGAGCCCAAATCCTATTGCCTGTCTTGTCCTGAGGCTCCATGCTTTATCCACTAAGCACCACAGTTTTTGAGTGCTGAGGAGAAAGGAGCCTCCGGAGCGAGTTAAATCCACATTTATTTTTTACACTCAGTATCTTTTTTTTTTTTACTTGGCACATCTGCAGTGTCCGATCTGTGAAGCTGTTAACCTGGCAAGCAGAGGAACAACCAAGTGAGGAGGAGCACATTGTTTGTACTGGGGCTGATGTGGCCCCTGCGCTGCATGAGGACATACCCTGCCCTGAGAACTGCTTGTGGTGAGCTCTGTGCACGAGGAGGCTGTGAAGAGTTAAGGATTTTGTTTTGGATCTTCAGGGCATGATGGAAGCCAAGTTCTTAAAAAAGTAGTTTAATTTGTTGCCATTACATTTGCCAGACATATGACCTCACTAAACTTTCAGCAAGGGTTCTTTGTGCCGAGATTGGCCCCTGGGGAGCCTGGTGCTGCTGCAAATGGCTTTTTGGCTGCTAGGAGCATGGAGCATGTTAAACATAACTGTGATCTGTGAAAAAGTAAGAATCTTCAAGCACTGCCCACTTTCCTTCCTGTCTGGGAGCTGGACTTGGACAGATATGACTGCAGAGCTCATTACTGAATAGGCAAAAACAGCAGAGCAGTGTGGTTCTGACTCCTCTGGCCAGGAAGTGTGATGGCCAGAAGCATCCTCTGCCCGCAGGGTCGTCACTGGATGTGAGTCTGCCAGCTAACTAGAAAATAAAATCCAACTGTGATCTAAGTAGCTGGGCTAAAACTAGCCAGCCTCGTGGTACAAATCACTTATTATATAACCACTCTAAAGAGCTGCTTTTGAACGCAATGTTTTTTGAAACACGAGTGAGTAGGAGGGGAGGGAAGCAAATCGTTTTGCAAAGGTTTGTCACTCTGACGTGAGAGCTGTGCTTCTCCTCTTACTTTTAGAAATAGTTGGTCTGCAAGTGCTTCTCAAGTGGCATTACCTGATCACCTGTAGTTTTGGGAAGGAAGTGTGATGGGAAAAAAGATTCTCTTAATGATGCTCATCTGCATATTTGACCTGGATTTAGTGTGCTATAAGAAGTTTTGTGTGTGTCTCTGAGAAAGCTGAGATCTATTTCTAGCTCTGCAACAGAGTTGCCATTGCAGGCAAACATCATTCTTCAGTCCCCTGTTCTCCTTGTCAGGGGAGATGTCTATAAATTGCTTCCTCTATCGAGGTACAGGTTCTGTGAAAGAAAGGCTCATCAAAGATTTGTATGTAGTGTGTCAGGGACGAGAGAGATGGGCTTCCAGGGCACAGGTCTCAGGCATCCCTCATTTTCTCTCTGTCTCCTTGTAGCACAGCAGCCAGTGCTGCAGGTGAAGGTGTGCTGAGTGCCTTGATGCTGTGGTGACTGTCACCTCAGGCTTCAGGTGGAGTTTGAAGTTAACTGGTATCACTTCTGAGCAAAGATGGGAGTATGTGCTCACAACAGTGTGTTGGGAGAGGATGCTGTGGGGTATGAGCATTGGGGACACCTGGGGATGTTCTGGCAGAGGGTAACTCATTGTCTTCTTAGCTGCAGCTGAGACAGGCCAGGTGACCACTGCTCGAGGCCATGAATCTGCAAGGAAGTCTTTCCCCAGTGACCACCCTTAGATTTCTTTATACTCCCTCCAGCCCTTCCTCCCTGATAATGCAATACAGATGGAAATACACCATTTTGTTGTCACAAAAATGTTAGGCTTGAATCAGCGCCATGACCCAATGCCAAAAACCTGTCACCTCTCTTCTCCCTTGCTGTTTCTGCTCCCTGCAGGCATC